CCAGTTCAGGACAAAAGACCTTGTAGAGCGAGAGCAGGTGGAGCAGAAACGGCTGTCGACCCTGGAGACAAACCATGTAAAAAATAAATAGATCAGAATCTGTTATCGTCAGGCTAAAAAGCCCTGGTAAATAAGTCGTCTTAAATTTTTTTTTTTTTTTAAATAACAATATCTATTTGAAGTTAATGACCCCGCAGATTTTTAACTGTAAAATTATTAGAAAATTGAGGATCAGGAGAAGTGAGATTTTTATCCCATATTTGAAAATCCAGACATTTATTTTCTATTGCTCACTTAATGCAAGTTTGAAGTTAATGAATGAATGCAATTGTAACTTTATTCAATGACGTGAACAAAAAGGTTTACCAGTTTAGACTGTAGTTCAAGCAGCTTCCTGACTCGGTAGACTTGCACTGCAACAACGACAAAAACAGAATCGATGACAGCGTGAACAGGTGAAATTAAAAAAAAATAAAAAAAAACATAGTAGTCCCAGAGATTTAGATCATCTTTAGGCTGTGACTGTGTGTGTGACCTACCGTTCTCTTTTCTAGTTAGAAGGTAGAGCAGGTGGCAAACGTAAGGACACTGGAAAAGAATAACAAGGGGTTTTGTTTAGATTCAGATTTTAAAGATCTTGAAATCACTCACAGAAATCAGGAACTGCTCAGAAAAATACACAGCCCCAATATGGATGACAAGACAGGAACTGCTCAGAAAAATACACAGCCCCAATACGGATGACAAGACATTAAAAAAAAAACAAAAAACAAAAACAAAACAAGTGCATGTAAAACACAGATACGGAGGAGCACTCACCAGATTTTCCTCCGTTACAAGGCTGAAGATTATGCCATAAATTGCACGCAGTTCGTCTTTTGCATCAATCATGTCAAACATAGTCAGGATCCACTTGAGGAACAAAACCTGTTGTTTTTTTATCAGGAAAAAAAAACAAAACAAAACTGAATGGGAAAAAAAAACAAAAACAAAACTGAATGAAACAACTTAATTTAAAATATTTAATCTATTGGGAACAATTAATAACAATTCTTACCACTTATCTGGTCTTTTTGAAAAAAATATATTTATAATTGAAAAAAACCTTGAAAGGGTTACTTTTTATTTTCAATATGTGAGTTGTAACTATAACTATATACGCTATAATTGAAGCTTATATATTATACAGACTCCTGGCCTATACTATACATAAATATAAAATTAGACAAAAAAAATGAATTAAGTTACAGTTTAGATTTTATTAAAACCTAAAAAATTGGTAAAATCATAAAAATCTGGTCAAATCGTGAGAGCCATGACTTTATTTCCATAAAATACTGTCCTGCTAATATGTTTTTTGTCATTAGACCTGGTTGATATTTTAATGTCTGCACAAAGCCAGCTCTTATTTACACACAAAAGGTTCCTGAACGTATGTCATGTTTCCCCACATTCTCAGTTGATCTTATACTGCATCTCAGCCAGGGTCAACTCTTAACTTCTCAGTTGATCTTATACTGCATCTCAGTCAGGGTCAACTCTTGTTTTTCTACCTCGACCGAAGAAAATTCGAACTTAACCACAACTTACCTGAGTGCTGATGGGTAATTTTCCAATGGTCAGCAATACCACAGCTCTGAGGACTGCATGCTGTGGCACCACAGAGTTAGGAATCAGACACTTTAGAACCCGCACGCATGGACCGGAACCTGCAGAGAAATTCGCAAAACCTCGATCCAACGTACACTTCACCAACATTAACAAACACAAACTGTAAAACGTTCAGCGCTACTTTGGTACTGCAGTTCAGACAGTTTAAAAATGACCTCCGGCCAAACGGATCCAACACTTTAGACCTCGTTCTCAGTTCACAGACACTGCAGAGACAGTCTTACCCATGCGCAGACTCATGGCAAACTCCAGCATCACAGCGATGGCCTCTGGGGGAAGTCCCGTATTGAAGGCCACTTTTTCCACCAGTGCCAGGTTCTTCCCCAACTCATCATTCCCCAAAATTGGAGTTCCTGCTTTAACTATAAGCAAACACAGACTCATATTGGGGCCTGATGAAGACCTACTGTTAGGGTAGGTCTCTCCACTACATTTAATGCAACTTAAGATGTTATTTGCTCGGCTGTTCAGGTCTTTGAGGTTGGGCAGTGAAAACAAGAGTACCATTAAAGCACAGTACAAAGCATTTAAGCTGAACCTGGTTACTAACATGTAAACATTTGGGATTAAATATGTATATATTATAATATAATATACTAAACATGTTCATGTGTTTAAGAAAAGAAGTAGGTGACAAGAACGTAACAGGTCTCACCCTAAAAAAATACAATGTTTTTAAAGTAGGTAAACAGACCAAACTAATGATTTCTTCTTCTTTCTTTTTGTGTTCAGGTTGGAACTGTTAATGTTAGAGATTTTAACAACAATACTATACAGATACTACTGGAAAATACAAACAGTATATGTGATGGAGAACGGTGGAAAATACAAACAGTATATGTGATGGCGTTCTCCATCACATTACGTTAAACCGTAGCTTACGTAGCTTTGTTTCTGAGTCGTAGACACAACATGATTTGCAGTAGTTTTGGCTTCTAGAACATTTTATCTCGACCACAGAGTTTGAAAACATACAACCATAGTTAAAGGGTCTGTTTGAACGGGCCAGGTCGGAGGAAAAGCAAGGGCCACGGTCGGTACCAGAACAGTGACGACTTACCGTCTCTAAAATAGCTGATAGCGACAACAAACGGATCCTCCTCCTTCTTTCTTCTCTCCTTCTCGAAAATTCTCAAACTTCTGTTTAGTGAACGGCTCGAAAGAGAATCTGGTTCCGAAATCAGCGAACGGCTCTGTTGTTCTGCCATTGTATTACATTTCTAAAAGCTAAAAACATGAAGCCATTCCGGGGCGTTTGTGGATTTTCAAACTCACCGCGACCGTTTGTTCTGCGCCTGCGCACTGCTTTGCTATAGTTTTGAGAATTCTGGGAAACGTAGTTTACATCGGACAGGGAAACGCGCTTGCGCATTGGGTCAAACTGTCATCTGACGATCTCGTTTCATGGAAAATCTGTCATTTAACATTGTTAAAATTGGTGCTTAAACGTACCGTATATCAGTACAACTCGAGTTAAGTTCATTTGCACGGACTTACTACATAACTAAAAACAAAAAAACATCTTTAAAGTTTTTTTTTTATTTCAAGTCTATGGTTCACAGAAATGTTGTCAGATTTTCATTCCCAAAACAAAAACGGAGACAGAAATGACTGAATCTGAATCTAAAGCAAAGTCAACGACATTAGCAGCACGTTAAACACATTTGAACCTTCTTAAAAAAGGAAATATAACATTTACATTTTCAAAAGACATTAAGGTTGTTTTCAGCCGAGACCCAAGGAAACAGCTGCTTCAGTCCCATTAGATAAATAAACGTTAAGCCAAAACCTGGGTTTAAAAAAGTATTTAGAATTAAAAAGCAGCTGATTCAACTCTTGTATTTAAATATCACATTTGAGATTGTTGACATTTTTTTAAGTACGCTGCATTAAAAACGAGTTATGGTTCTATGTCTTACCAGCTAATATCTCGGACGGAAACTCTTTGACTTACTTTTTCTAAATTACACTGTATAATTTGGAGCAGAAAGCATGCTGAAAAATGGTAATTAATTACATATTAATTTTTTTTCCCTAATTTCAATTTAAAAACAATGATAAAACAACAGTTACTGAAAAGTGGCATTCACAAAAGACCTTCAAACAAATTCAAGGCAAACATGTTAAAGACAGTGTTAGACTAAAATAAATAACAACAAATGAATTTGACTACAGCGAGAGGGTACAGAGTGAGCTCTGTGGATTTTTTTTTTTTTTCTACAGCAAAGTCTATGACTCAGTCCTCCAGTTTATCTCCATCCTCAGAGGTTTGGAAGCAGGTAATGAAAGGGGCTTGATTTGATTCTACTAAACCTGACCAGGAAACCTCTTAGAAAACACATACGTGTCTAGATCCTACTTTTGAATTTGTAAGGATTATGGAGAGAATGATCTTAGACTGACATTAAGTGTAAAGACGAGTTAATGAGTACCGAGTCAGCGGGGGAGACAGGAAGAAGGAAGTGACGGTTGTTTATTACTGCTTGTGACTGTATCCTTCAAAATCTTCACCTCGGAAATTCACGGATTACGTTTCTTGGGGACGACAGCCGATTTTATGATTGTTTAAACTTGTTCTTTTCCTGCTCGTGGATATGCTGCTCCTCCCTGCTGTCCTCTCTCTCGGGCCGCTCGTCGCCCTGCCGGGCAATCAGCAGTCGGCAGGTGAGCAAAATTCCGAAAACTAGAGCGTGGGCATAGCGTTTGAGAGGATCGCCGACAAGTTGGTGGAAGAACAGCACAGCCAACATGACCAACAGGAGCAGGAAATTGGCCACATCCTTTGGTCGACCTGGTACCAAGGTCAGAACCACACCACAGCCCACCTCCAAAGAGCCGATGATCTTTCTCAGCAGGACCGAGCTGATCCCGATTTTCTTCAGACCTGGCAGGGCCTTGGCGTAGCTCTTGTATGCTCTTTTCTGCAGGTAATAAGGCAAAAGAAGTGTTTTTATCGATAATAATTCACACAATCAATCAAGTGTTCATGCTACATGTGAAAGTTGCCTGTAAGAACCTTAACTCCTCGCTCAGGCATGGGCAAACTAAGGTCCGGGGGGCCGGATGCGGCCTCTTCAACCTTTTAATATGGGCCGCCAAACTTTTCAAAATTGATTTATATTGAAATAAAAATAATATAAATAATTCATTCATATTATCATTATTCATTTCATTACTTCTGCCTTTTCCTTGCAATACCCACTTTTCCCCAATAGATGGCGTAGAAAATGATAAAAGCATTTTAGCCTTTATGCAGGACTTTTACACGTCAATTTTCGGACAATTGTGGCCCGCAAGTCAAACAATGTTTGCCCGCGCCTGTCCTAGCTCATTTGTAAATTGTAAAAACTAAACAGAAAATTCACTTAAAAACCAACATTTATCTATTTTATTTGTAAAATTGTACTTTTCTGGAGCCAGAAACAGCATTTAGTAACATCTACTTGTGTTGTGCACCAATCTCACCCATCCCTCAGACTTCTTTTATTTAGGGTTTTATTTAACACTTTACATCCTTCATGTGCCATTATGTACAGGCTGAATTTTCCACTGGTATATATTTCTTTTCTTTTTTTTTGTTTTTTGTATATAAGGAGGGAGTATAGGTGATAGTCACAACACAGTGTAATTCTACTGGCTCATTAAAATAATTGACAGGGTTAACTTTCTTCTATTCGTGTACTTTCAATTCTTCCTTTAACTGAACTAATAGCAATTTTTTTTTTTTTATCACTTTCGTATGGAATCCAGCAGCTCCTCATCTTCATCTTGCACATCCTCTAAGGACATTTTCAGCATCAGCATCTCACAGAATGTGCTCGAAGGCGGAGCCATTGCTTTAAAAAAAAACATATCTATCTACTCACGAGAAGCTGCACCATTATTAATTGGGTTTGCATTTCCTATAATCCGTATTTCACACACATTAACTGTAAATCACACATAAAGGTAGACGGTGTGCAGACAATGAAATATCCGTTTATAGCCGTTTTGTCTACAACGTCAGATCATATTCCTATCTATGCTTCCTACGGAATAAATGCCTCTTCGGTTGAAAACGCATTTGCTTTTTATCCCCAGGATTTCTCATCAAATGTATCTTTTTTCACTGCAGAATTTGGTCAGAATCCGTTGATTCAACCAGAACAATGGCGGGTCTTCTATCGAACACTCACCATCTCACTGTAGGCATCTTTGCTGAGTCTCGGCGTTAATTTAATGGTTCCCATGAAGACGAAGAACAAACCCAGAGCAAAAGACAGAGCCACGATAGTTATTGTCCGCGGGGAGGCCATTTTTTTCTGTAGTGGCCTCACAGACCCAAAAGCAGAACGAAGATTTTACCGTTCGGTCAATGAATGAACCGACTCGGTGTAAGGCTGAAGGGCGGAGCTTCTATAGGACAACAAAGATGGCGGCGACAACATACCGTTTTAATAGGTCTTAAATATTGTTAAGGGTTTCTTTCTTTTAATACGCTATTCAAAAATATCCATAACTATATAAACAACCGCATTGTCACATTCTTAATGACTCGAATAAAACTGAATTTCTACATTGCTTAAACCTTAAACTATCAGTTGTTAATATTGGGCCGAGTTTCTGCTAGAACCACAAAGATGGCAGTGAGCTGTTATACCAGAGACTCTATTAAGAAATCACGAAAAGGCAAATATTTTGCATGTTTATCAATCAACCTGTATGTCTGACATTTATATACACACATTTCCTGTTCTACATTGTTTAGAAGCGATGGGGTTATCTTAAAAGACCTTTTGTGTTATTATTCCAATGAGGCCGGGATTGTGAATCAACAGCAAGAAAAGCAGGGTGAACGTGATAGTCCCACGAATGGATGTGTAATGATGGCTGAAGGCTAGTACGTGTTTAAAATAACTGCAGTGGAGCTTCAAGATTCGAGCTACCCGAAATACGAGTTACCAATTTACGAGTAAGCAACCTTTGCGAGATTTTCCAGTCGCGCTCATTGTCCCTCGCTTGGTAAATTGACCCATTATTATAACAATAAAATAAATGTACTACTACTATTTACTATTTAATTAAAATAAAGTTCCCCCACCATCTAAACATCAAAAACATAGATATAAACAAATATATTGATAATATCAAATAATAATCATTTAGAAAACATTTTATATTATTAACCCATTAACACCATTCAGCAGCAGTAAAAAAATATGTTTAAGATACAGTTTGAAAACAATGTTTATCACCCTGCACGTGCTCTCCTTTAAGTGCAAAGTCAAACATGATTCCATGTTTAAAAGACAAGAAAAAACTCTCATTAATAGAAAAATGGCAATACCAACAAAGTCTTGGAACTAAAAATGGCAATACCAACAAAGTCTTGGTACTCGACAAGAACATCCAGACCGTCCACCTCGGAACAAACTACTGTATTGTGGACATCATATATGCAGTAGGAAAGACGTCATCCTCAGAATATGTGTGGACATCATATATGCAGTAGGAAAGGAATGCTCCAGACGTCATCCTCAGAATATCTACAGTGACAAAGAAATGGACTGCAGAAAGTCTTGAGAAAATATACTGCTATCGAGAACAACATGTAAGAACCAGAACCCTGTTCTCATTGCCTCTGATCCTGACGTTCCTTCAGAGCCAGGATTGCTTTCCGGTATAAATCTTTGAAGAGACAGGAAGATGCTTTTAGACAAACATCGCAAGTTGTAAATTGGAGGGTGGTAGAAAAAGGAGGTGAAGAAGAGTCTTACCAAAGGTCTCAGAAAGGTCGACAGGTTGAGTGTAATCTCTGCACATCTCCTCAGTGTTGATCTTATTCTTTCGTTTCACTTTCACTAATTTATTTTTTTTCCTTCTTTTCTCTTCTTTATCTACAGACAAAGATGGGAGAATGGTTATTATTTTAGCAACTAATGTCCAGAAATGAGACTGTATTGTGAAAACGCGTCACACCTTTGATGGTCTCCTGGTTTTTGTTAGTAGAATCGGAATTTTCCTCATCGTCTTTTTTCACCTTTGGTTTGTTTTTATCTCTGGTTTTTGCCGTGGGGTGCCGAGTATTGCCGGTCTTTTTTTTGTCGCCACAGTTTTCCTGCTCTTTTTTGTCCCCGTCTGCATCGTCGTCATCCTTCTGTTCATGTGTTCTGTTTTTTTCATGTTTACTTTTTTTGACTGTGACAGATGGGTCTTTTTTCTTTTTTGTCTTTAGCTTCTTGATCGCTGACTCCTGCGGACAATGCGTGTAAGCTTAAATGATTAGACATCTTGTCTCCCCAGAGACATCACAATGTCAAAATGGACTGAGGTCACAGCAGAACCCCAGAGACATCACAATGTCAAAATGGATTGAGGTCACAGCCCTACAATACAATTTGCAGAACTATCAATACTGAGATGTTTACTGACCTTTGGCAGCATGTTTCTAATGGGCTGCAGCCTTTTTTCAGTCTTGGTCTTTTTCTCATTGTCTTTAGGCTGATGAATTTTACAAGGATCTGATTCGCCGGGTCTCAAGCTATAATAGAAAGAAATAACACACAAAGGTTTCGAACAAAGAGGGGAATAGTCACTGATCAGGTTTAAATGTTTGATCCATTCAGACCTGATCTTTCTGTGACATTTCTCTGTTTTTGCCTTTTCTGTTTTTCTGGTTTTCTGCCTCTCCCTGGTTTCCAAAGGAATCTTGCAGTCCTGGCCAACACGGGTACAAAGCTCAGGAAAATCCTGGTACACAGTATGCAGAAGCCAGCGCAGACCACGTAGAGCTTTTCTGTCAGACCAGCGCCGAAGGTCCATTAACGCTGAATATGATTCCTAAGAGGAAAAGAGAAGGTCCAGTCTGAATGTCTGCATCTGTTCTGTAGTTTTCAAGAAGCCTATACTTCACATCCACATATGAAGAATTATTTAGTTGAATACTCACAATATGGCACATGGAGCGACTCTGGTTCACGAGCTTCTCCAGAGACAGTAGTTCGATCAGCTCACTTCCTGGCAAAGCGTTCACTTTGTCCTGTTTATTTGCAAGTCTGAAACAGACCCAGCTCTGGTTTCACGTTATTTTACTTTCACATCGATAAAAAACCATGTCTAAACCAGGGATGCCCAACATACGGCCTGTGAGCCAACAATGGCCCCGCTATGGGGTTCGATCGAAAAAGTGAAAAAATGTATTAAATTAAAAATTAATACTTTCTCGTGTTCATGTACTTTTTTTCAGGAAAACAACAGGGTAGGGAGGACATGGATTTATTTATAGGTAAGTTCCGCCCACTTGACATCTAATCCATATGTGGCCCCTCAACCAAAATGAGTTTGGCGCCCCTGGTCTAAACGCTTGGGTTACTAAGTTGGTAATACTCACACCAATAGGGGCTTTCCGGCCACTAATGGTTCTTTTAAAAGGTCAGCCAGAACCTCACGGACCTCCCTGATTCTCTGTCTGTCACTGGAGTCCACCACAAAGATGACAGCGTGCGCTTCGGCGTACAGGTTCCTCCAGGTTCCTCTGGACTCTGCCGAACCGCCGACGTCCAGCAGCGTAACCACAAAGTTTTCCATCCTTAGCTGGGTCCTCACGCAGCCGCCGGTAGGTCCCGTCTCAACAGGGTGTTGGACTGGAAAGGAGACAGAGTGAAGGCTCTTGGGCCGTTTCAAATCACTACCAGCGTCAAAGTTCTGTGTTCAGAAAATGTACCTCCCAGCATCGCTCTGATTGAGGATGTTTTTCCTGCTTTATCGAGACCGACCATCAGAACAGTCACCTTTCTGCGGAGACGAGAATGAAGGACAGAGTTTGACTTCAAATGTTAAACGTCTTCACTTTATTGGGAACACAAGTTCCGTCAGGTTATTTAACGACCCCATTACCATTACCCATGAATACATAAAACAAAGGCTATGTTTTGGTGGTGTGCTAGCTGTGAAGGCACAACTAATGCTAAGTTATATATATATATATATATATATTGGAAATGTGCTGCTGTCCAAACCATATTTTTTTAATGGGATGTCCCATCATGTGATAACAGCTGGCCAGGTGGAAGTACAAGACTGCGGAGATTTCTCTTTACCCGGCAATTACAGTTCTCTCTCTCTCTCTCTCTGTGTATTTCGCAATGATATGAGACACTCACCTGATTGGCTCCTGTATTTTGGAGACCCAGCTGCAACAATTACTCATGAGGTTGAACATCTTGATTAGATTTTGGACAGGTAAGAACAGAGGGCATTGTCTTCTCGGGAAAGGAAACCTACAAACCAACAGAGTCCAGTTTTTTAGTCACAAAGGGGTTAAAAAACACTCTGTTTGTTTCTCCTATTTGAGCTTTTTTTTTTGTAATTGTTCTAAAATTGTAATGTTAGAACACAAAGAAAAGAGTGTGAAAACAAATTTCTAAATAAGGTCATTTTTATGAAGCCATGAAAACAGTAAGAATGAAAGAAGAAAAACACTCACAGAGCGGAGTCCAATTCCACGTTTGTGTTCAGATCCCGGTCTGCAATAACATCCTGGGACAGCTTTAGGTCTAATCAGGATCACACTAAGACTTTAGTCTCATCTTATTTCAGCCAATCACAAACTGCCCGTGTGATTCTGCTGGTACAAATGCCTGTGCCTGTCAATGGTGTGTGGTGGACTCATCTGTGACGTCCAATCACCTCGCAGCGCGGAGGCCAGTGTTAGCCTGATCTGAACCACCTTACCTACACGATGATGTCATCACCTTTGTAACTTTTTATATTTGTACAGGCTTTATTATGACAGGCATTTAAAAGTGATTTGCAATGGGATTATACATATATATATATATATATATATATATATATATATAGATATATATATATAGATATATATATATAGATATATATATAGATATATATATACATACATATATAACTGGTAATAATATATATATTGTTACCAGTAATATTTTTAAAAATGTTATTCACCTGAATACCAATCAATTGATTCTAAAATTGTCATAATCTTCATTTACCATGACCTTGATTTGTTTTCACACGAAATATAATTCATAATGCGTTTATTTGGAGACCATCATGCGATTTATTGCGATTACAATTACTAATTGTTTCGATTGTAGTGTTTTATTAAACAAATTATATATCAAAGTTAGCCACAAGAGGGCGGTATTGTAGTAGTCTGAGCACCGTTTTAAACGTAGTGTAAATGCCACGTTAAAAATAAATAAAAAATTTTTTTTTTTCTTCAGCTTACTTTTACTTTATCCAATGAATAAAAACCATATAATCATTATAAGTGTTTATTCTCTGTACGGTGTTTTTAAGTTTGTTGTCCGAACATCGAGACCTGATTCCGTGCTCTTCTGCTTCATCTTATCGTGTCATTAAAATAACACCCGATCAAGCCAAGCTTTTCATATGCTGATTGGACCCGTTTATGTTCTCACCACACGCCCAATAAACGTCACTTCGGCCATCTCAAATGATTGGCTACTCTCGTCCTTATTTTGATCATGATTTAATTAATCATTAAATGTTATGTAAACATATTAAATATTAACTATTAAACAATCAAACCCAAGGTCAAAACCCAAGGATTTTGAAATTTAAGTCCAAATGCAGATGTTTTGGCACCCCGCATACAGGAACGAGCTGCAGCTGAGGCCACGCCCCTCAGCCGAGGCCACGCCCCTCAGCTGCTGCTGATCTGCACATTACAATCATTTTTCAGATTCTGCTGAGACTTTGGTACATTCTAGAAAATCTATGAATTCTAAATATTAAAGGAATAAGTCTTAAATAAGTTTTTCCTTCTCTGAGGTTAGAGGTTGTTGTGTCTTTATAATCAATGATGTGTGAAAAGGTGTACAAATCTACGGGCGTTTTCTGACAATACATGGACACAGACTGTCGACATTATAAAGCATCTTAATCAGGGGTGGGTAAACACATGGCCCGTGGGCCAAAACCAGCCCACTTGATGAACACATATTGAGGAAATGTTTTGTTTTAAATTCCATTTAATCTGAAAATGTATCTGATATATATGTACTTTTCAGCATGAAAACAAAGGGGAAAAAAAACGTTGTTGTTGTTGTTGTTATTTACAGGTAATTATATTATGATCCGGGCCACTTCACATCTAATTAGGTTTCACGCGGCCCCCTGAAGCAAAACGATTTTCACATCCCGGATCTGAATGAATCACAGTGTATTAACAACATTACTGGTAGACCAGGGAAATAAACAGAGGGTTCTGTGTAACAATAATGTCCGACTGACAAAATAACAACCCATGACATTCATCCTCTACCTCTTAAATGTTTTTCAAGGCCCGTGTAAGAAGGACGGGTTAATTGTATTTATACAATTTTACCATGGGAAAACCCTTGAGTTTAGTTACCACCAGGGGTTGAACCCGTGATCTTCTTAGTGAAGGCAACAGCACTAAGCACTCTAAGTTCTTTTTTTTTTTTTTATAAATGACTTGTGGACACAGACAAAACAAAACATGTGTGGTATTGCGCCATCTTGTAGTACTTCCCCATAAGATGTGTTGTTTCTCATATGACAACATCGGCCACATGGCCTGATAGAGCGTTCGTTTTAGGTAGAGATTTGCGTTTGCTTTACGTCCAGTGTTGCCAACATTTTTTTCCCCCCACTGCTTATTTAAGCAGAAACTCTGCCTCTGACTACTCTGAAGACTGTATCAGCAGGCCCAGTTTCCAACAGGACTGTTGCTTCTATGGACCAAAATAAAGAGGGCACCAGTCTATTTGTAGTGTGTCCTCTAAAGTGGTCTTGACCAGGCCCAGGTCCTGGATTGAAACCAAACCACTTTCTGTGTACCAATATATATATATATATATTATATATTATTTATATACATAAGAAAGAGACACAGATTTATTCTATTGAAGGTGACTTGGTTTACTTTGGGTTGGATTTTGGTCCTACAAAAAAAAAAAAGAAAAGAAAATCACAGCAGCTGAGGTCACAGCAGCAGTTCTATGAGTCACGTGACCTGCTACGTACCACATGATTGGCTGTTAAAAATATCACACACCCACACTTGTCACACTGTTTAGACATCTGTCTATGGGTCTGTTTGTATTTCAGTTCTGGTTCACTTACCAACATGATAATCCAGATATGCAAACGGCGTAGAGACGAAATGGTTTCGTCCGAACAAAAACGTCAATCCGAGGGGTTCTACAAATCATAGCAGTTATTCTTTGTTTGTGATAATATTTGATGAACAAATGTGGCAGAGAAACTCTCACAACTTAATTATTACCACCACAAAAAAAAAAAAAAGAAAAACAACTAAAACTGTTAAGAAGTGATAAATGAGCTGACTTTACAGCAAGAAAATGATTCACTGGTTAAATCACCAATTTTTTTCTGTATGGAGTTTGCATATTACTGACTTCAAAAATATATTTACTATTAATAACTACTGTAGTGAACGACTGCTACTGCTAAAGAGGTCAATTAAATATGTATGTGTGTAAATATGTAAAAGTTGAGAACCAGTGGAACATTCTGGAGCCAGCTAGGCCTGTTTCTTATCCTAATATTGTTACTTAACACACGCATTTCTAAGCATACATGGCATATTTAGATTATATTGCATGTATTGACACCAAATTAAGGTTAAAGGTTAAACCTATTTATCTTTTGTCCCCCCCCCCCCTGTATTTTAATGTCATATTTACTCTTGCCACTTGCTTTATATTAACACAGTGGTTCATAGAATCCACAGATAAACCTGTCTGTGACGTCATCTCGCAACTCTCTACACTGAAAGCTTCAGATATTATGCACTCTACAGCCAAAAGGACTCCTCTGACCTAACCCTAACCCCTTTAGACCCGCCCTGGAGGCTAATGTAAATGCCTAGTCCCCACCCAGCTTTGTTTGTTTCCGTGTTTAAATTGTGCTTTTTATCAATTTATCGTATCAGATTATAATATCAGATCGTATTTGTACAGTACCCGCCCATCATTTCCGGTTTCGTGTTAAGGTTCCGTAACATACACATACAGTCAGAGAGAGAGAGGGAGGGAGAGGGAGAGAGAGCGAGAGAGAGAGAGAGACCATCATCATCATCATTTTCTACGACTGACACGGAGACAGTCAAACGCAACACGGTTTCTTCGTTTCCAACCGCCTCGCGTTACATACGGAACACCGCTGTTGGCCATGGTTGTGTTTACTGTGTGTTCAGTCAGCGACAGGTCAAAACTTTCCTCCTCGGAACGGTGACACCGCGTCGAGCACATGGAAAAACAGCCCATGAATGTGTGTGTTTGTTAGAGATAAATACTGTGTGTGTGTGTGAGAGAGAGAGAGCGAGAGAGCCGGCGACGCAGGAGGAGTGACACAGCCGAAAAGTGGAGATGAAGCCCACGAAGAACTGTTTACGATCAACACGGTGAGAAGTACATACTGATGTCAACCAAAGGAGAATAATCACCGAACAGACACCATAGCAGGCAGGCGGATACTCGACCCACACTGGCAAGCATGTGTGAAGTGGCGTTGGAGGAGCAGGAGCGGGACATCTCTGACCTGGACCCGCAGGAGAACTCGTCGGTGGCGGACGAGGGGCTGATGCTAGTGGTCAGTCACAGACGTGTCCGGCCGCCGTTCAGTGTTGTTCTGGCTACGGTTCTGTACGTTGCGGAGTTGATCACTGCCGCGGCGCTGTGCGGGATGTACCACAAAACCAACGACGTGATCTGGATGAGCTTTACCATCACCTTCATGTTGGTTCCGGCGCTGCTCATTCAGCTCACTCTCACCTTCATCCACCGAGACCTGGGCCGGGATCGGCCACTTGTTCTGTTCCTGCACCTGCTGCTGCTCGGACCGGTTGTAAGGTGGGTACCGGGGTGTGACAGGAGGCGCTGTTGCACGTTTGGGAGGGTCAGAGCAATTGGTCACTTTACACCACCGTTTAAGAACTATTTGAAGTTAGCCAAAACTGAGACTACCTTTAAAAAAAGTGTTCTCTTTAGTCTATTATTTAAAAGCTCAAGAAATAGTACAACACGAACAGCAAAGTGACTAAAGCTCCAAAACAGAATGAGGTTCTTGTTGGTCTTTTTTTTTAGTCCACGAACTTAAAAAGTGTAGTTTATTTACCTTTTGGTGCTGCGTTCTCACAGGCCCCATTTCTTAAAAAAAACAACCAATTGAAACAAAAATTTAAACTGTCGTTTAAAATATTTGTTTTAATGTGTTGTGTTCAGTAATTCCAGGTTAATTTCATGTGTAAATTATATGGTGTTTAGCAGTTTTAGAGCTAGTTGTACTGAAACTGCTAACTGCATTCTGAGCATTCTGTCTGAATGAATGAATATTGATAAATAATAATGAATATTTATTTAATATTTGTACTTTCTTAAATAAAAATATTGGGACATTTGGGAAACTGTACTGTAAACATTTAAGGTTTTAGGTCAGAAAATACACACTGAAACTGTTATTATCTCTCTGTTGTCCTTCATAAACAAGAAAGTGAATTTGTAATAGCACTTATTAACTTCAAATTATAATCCCAATCTGTCACAAATGGCAGTGTTGTCTACTGTTAACCCCAAAAAAACACATCTTTATCAAATAATTCAGCACTAGTGAAGCTCTACCTACAGTATTGTAAGTTATTGCTAACGCTATAGCTACTACTTTTTCAATTTCTGGTGTCTTTATCTCAACTCCATCCTCACAAATGTTTGTAAACCATTTATTCTCCAACACCAAAGTCCATAGAGAAAACCAGTAATTGTAGCTAACAGTCCAGTGCTGGCTCCATGACTAAGTTTAATTGTTTTATTCTTCAAACGTCACCGTTTGAAATGCGTGTCCAGATTTATTCTAGCTACACAAACTGACCAAAGGAGTCAGCAGTGGACCAACAGGTGTCCCCCGTGAGCTCAGGTCACTGATTCTTCTCAGTGTACATGAGCTGGTTTGAATAAATGTAAATACAATACAACGCAGGTATTCGAAGCAGAGTTTTAGAGTCACTGTCGGTATCTAACTTTTCTAAATAAGTAGTTCAAAGTTATTAAGACAAAGTACACACTCTTCCACTGGAGTCCACATATATTATTTATAAAGCTATTGAGTTTTTTCCCTCTAATGGGACTTTAAGGCACGGCCCAGGTTTTCTTCTTGTCTCACTGTGTTTCCGTCTCATTGGCTCAAACCTCTGCGAGGCACTTTGAGGCACCACAGGCTGCGAATTCACTCAAAGAAGCCTCTGCTCTGTCTTTAATGCGGTTCTTTTTAACATCATTGTTTTGACAGTCAACATCATTTTGATTAGCGTACGACAATTGCCGAATTGCCGATTTGCCGATTAAGACAAGCTGCCGAAGACTGAATCGATTATTGGTCCACATTTAGTAACTAAACATCGTCAAAACGTCCCGCAACATCATCTTTGTAAGCAAACTCTGCGCAGACGTACCATGTCACGCGTGTTAAGAACCAACTAGGATAACCAGTATTTTGGTCAACACAAAACTGAAATTGACCCCTAACTTAAAAGGAAGGTTAATCTGCATAGTTACCTCTAGGGCTAAAAGAGTCAGGACAAAAGAAAAGACAAGAATCTTTAGTGAGCAGCATTTCTAAAGTGAAAACACCCAGTTGAGTGGAGTCAGCAGAGAAAGAGCAGACTGGGTTGGACGAACAGCAGAAACTGAAACAACAACTAGCGCCAACCAAAACCACAGAAGAACTCGGAACTCACGAAAACATCTCTTACAGCAGGAGTCAGCGAAGTCAGTTGACAACCGGAAAGTCCTTAACTTACACATATTAGAATGACAACTTAAAATGTCTAAAACCACGCAGGTGTGATGTCATGATGTTCCCACGTGGCTTTGATGACAAAAGGAAAAAGACGAAGATGCGGAAAAGCTGAAGCTAGTTCGCGCCAACTAATGTAAATAATCAACGACGATCAAACTACTTTGCTGACATGACAGTCTATCCGTCCAAGTCGAACTCTTTCTTCTTCATTCAACTAGAAGAGCACCGTAGCGGAGAAGCAAAGACAACCATCGCTAGAAGATGAGATCGGTAGAAAACCTGCTCATTCGGCACTTCCGAGGAAATCACTTCTTAAAGGGATGTATTTAGAATGTAACACAGAAGGACAAGATAACATCCGACAAGTAAACACCGGTTTGGATGCGCTCTTTTTAAACTGTCGTAAATCATGTGAAAGATGGCAGTGCAGGAGCGGGAGATCTCAGACATCAAGCTGCAGGACGGCACTCCGCTCGTGCAGAACAGGTTCATACTGATGGTCAGACACGACCCTCTGCCGGCGCCGTACGGTGACGTGCTCTTTACCGTGCTGTACCTGGCGGAGTATCTCTGCGGCGTCTTCCTGTGCAGACGATACGAGAGAACCAACGACGTCACTTGGTTGAGCTTCACCATCGTGTTCATGGCACTTCCTGCTCTGCTCATCCAGCTCACGCTCACCTTCGTACACAGGGACCTGGGCCGAGACCGACCATTTGTCCTCTTCCTGCATCTGCTGCTGCTCGGCCCAGTAATCAGGTCGGTGAGGAGGGCAGGGAGGGGAAAGAGCGTAGTATAGTCCACGTGACGAAGTCAAAAAAGACGTATAGACTTCTTTTCAGTCTTAGGGAATGACATAATAAATGGTCGCGACAAACACCAAATAGTCTAGTTTCACCCATGTCTGCATAAGGGCACTGGTTGGAGACAATTGGGCACAAATACTGGAATAGGAAATGTCAGTATATAGATTGCAGATATCAATAACAATACAATATCCCCCCAAAAAAAGACGCATCAACTGACAGACAAATATCTGTCAGACCAGTTAGGCCTGAATGTTCATTCCACAAATTATCTTCCTGAGCCCAACAGAGTAGTACGAGAGATTTCTAGATCACTTGATGCGGTACCAGATTTTTTTTTTCCCCAATACAGATACATCAGGTCACGTGACCTTAAAAGATGTCGAAGTGACGCGTGCGCTTTTTCCATTCATTAGTTAGCGTTGATACTTTATAAGAGTAATCAATACTCGTACGAATGTCAATATATTGATGCCACGGAATCGATACTCCCATCACTATTGTCAACTTTGGCAGAGCAGTTCGTCAACTCTCCCACTGAACTGTGCTTATGTCTAGAAAACACTTCAATAGTCACCGTTACTTAACTCTTCGCAACAGCACACGGAGCGAAACCCTCCAATTTACATACTTGTGAAACGGTTTTAATTCTTGACATCGGTCCTGTTTAAATACCGTAGTTGTAATTCTGTGCTGACACTGTAATCCGATGCTACTGTTGTCAGAAGGAAAAGGAAGTGAAGGAAAGTAAACTATTTGTCACTGTGACACAGCACACAACCAAATGTGACCTCTGTTTTTAACCCATCACCAAAGTAAACAGTGGGCAGCTTTAAGCACCCGGGGGAGCAGTGAGTGTGGGGGGCATCACCAAAGTAAACAGTGGGCAGCTTTAAGCACCCAGGGGAGCAGTGAGTGGGGGGGGGGCACGGTGCCTTGCTCAGAGCACCTCAGTGGTAACTTGGCAGCTGGTGGACTTGAACCAAAAGCCTTCCAGACCCAAGTCCGCTTCCTTAATCACTGAGCCACCACTGCCCCAACAGGAACAGGAAATGAGCCTAGATGTTGCATGCTCCTTACGTCGGCTAAAACTTCTGCTTTTAAAAGGAAGTTTCCTCACAGATGAAATCACATATCCACGTGAAACAGATAGTCGTGATGTTAATGGAAACATTTGGGCATTTACTAATGATCGTTCTTTCTATTTTTCTGAAAAACTAGAGCAACCCTGCTAAGGACAGTTCTGCAGTCGCAGTTTGTTTGAAGGCAGGACGTCTGAAGTCATAGGATTTAAATCCATAGACCTGTATGGTCCAGACTTTTGAGACAGACTTTAGTGTAGCGCAAGTCTACTCTCTTTAAATCTGCTTTATTCTTCACATATTTCTTGTCTTGGATGAGGCTCAAAAGCAGCAGACCTGATAAATCAAACCCAGACGTTCCTCCAGCTGCTTGTTTCAGCACTAAAATGTAAAGAGACCTCCAGGAAAATCAAACATTCTGCAGACATACAAACGTATTGTAAGACGTATATAAATACTCCAGAGTCCAATGCTTTCCAAATCCTCTATAGCCCATAATCACGACTGCAATACAAAAGACACTTATTGTGCTTTTGCGATAATTAATTTGTTTAGCTTTCGACGTCTGCTACACAGCTGTTGCACGAGGTGACTAAATTATCAATGATTTTACTCATTCTCGATGAACTAATTCTGAAACGTGTCGTAGTTTGCATGTCATGCAATGCAAACTACCGTTGGAGCAATTACGGCTAGCCTGCAAGTTAGCCATTCAGTGGACACTAGCATACGCCCATGCCATCACAGATACTGGATTTTGAACTTTGTGCTGATAAGAGATCAAAGAAAACGTCAGAGGGAAGCAGAGGGTTGAGCTTTTGCTTTCTTCCTTGGGTCGTGCGCTTTGATGTTCATTAGCATGTTTGATGTGCAGCCGTTAGCATACACCTTCCAGAAACAATTTGTTGTTGTGAGTAAAGTACGACACTGAAACCTCCCTTTTTTCTTCGTTGTGCCAGATAAAATTGTGACACACTTGTCACTTATTCACTAAACCACATTGTAACATGGGAGATTTACACAGATTTTTGGCTGGTTGCGACAACATAACGAGAACATAAACAGTGTTTTTACAGCTCCTGTATAACCAACTCACGCTTCAACATGACAAACCGCTCTCAACTTTCGCTAACGTTCTCTCTCTCCCCCGCCATTCATAGACAGACAGACATACGCTACTAGTATAACATACAGTAGCCTACCAGAAAAGTCATAGGTCGCTAGCGGTATACACTTCGTTAGCACATAAAAATCTATAAATTAGCCGCATCATTGTTTTTAGCCGCGGGGTTCAAAGCGTGAGAAAAAAGTAGCGTCTTGTAGTCCGGAATTTACGCCGCGGGGTTCAAAGCGTGAGAAAAAAAGTAGCGGCTAAGTCCGGAACTTATGGTATACGATTTGAAAATTCATGTCCCGGTCCTAATCTTGTATTTTTATCAGAAAGGTCTAATGGCCAAATGGACATCAGTTGTTGTTGACATCATGACTCTTGTAGGTTCAAGATTCAAGAGTGCAGTCTGGTGATTGCATGAGATTACAGGAGATATTTTCTCTACTAAACCCAAAGAATTTGTCAATCTTCAAGCCTCCATATGTTTGTTTTATGTTCTTTCTCCTCTGGACTGAATCATGTCTGAACACGACAAACCTGTAAGTGCTGAACCTTGACAGTAATTACTGCGTGGCCCAGTCTGAGCAAACCCAGCTCCTCCCGCACTGTCTGTGGGTTTTTCAATCACCCTACAGTCAGATAATGTTAGTGATGACCAAAATCCCTCAAGACCAGAACTGAGCAGTCCTGCAAGTGTTTGTGCAGCTCTTTGCTCGCAAATCAGAATTCCAAGTTTCGTCTTTTTCTGCGCTTAGTCAGGACAAACAGGTTTGCTGTTTGGTCCGCAGCACAAACACTGCTGCCGTTGCTCTGCGGTTACCGATCGGGATCATGTTCTTCCCGGAGACACCTCATTGTATGTGGTTGCTATTCAGTCGGCACATGCTACAGCAGAGGCCTGAATGCATTTGTCTTCTCCAGTGAACTTAGAGATATTGATTTTCTGAGATCACGTCTTCATCCTTCCTGCCTCTATTCCTCCTCTTCCTCTCACTCTCGTCCTCAGTGCTTTTACAGAAACCATTTAGTTGGCTGGGAGTTGGCTTGTGTTCAGTGCAGCCTGTTGTTTTTGTGCTCAGGCAGTTTTCCAGCAACACTGATAAATATGCCGTAAACCTCCAGCGCTGTAGCCTCTCCCCAGTTAAAGAGCGAGTACGTTTGTTTATGTTTGCAGAGACAAAAGCACGATTTTGAACGTCCGGTCTCTTACATGCACAGTCAGAGCCACTACTGAATCTTCAGAGTCAGTCGACGGCAACAGGTTCATGTCAAATTCCTAGGGCTCTGTGTTCCCTGGAAAAGATAAAACATTCCGACAGAATGATGTGTAAGTGGGAGCAGCAGGGATGTTTCCCAGGACTCGGTTTATTCGTTTTACTTGCACTACTCCTACTAATTATTCAAACCTTTAATGTTTATGTTATAAGAAAACCCTGGCTGGAAGAAAAAAATCAAAGTTAAAAAGAAAAAAAGATTATTAAGATTATTTTCTTTCCTGCGAGTAAACTTGAGTTTGCGGCAAATCGTCCATCATTCTCCACAACATAGAGACTTTGCCGTCAGGCTGAAGTAACAACCTTTACCTTCTTTACCTCACCCTCGGCAACAGGAACCACACCCAGGCCCAGAGGGTTTCACTTAATTATTCAGCACAGAGGCGTGTTTGTTTTTTACACTCTCGCTGCCCTCTGGTGGAGCTTGTGCTTGTTTTTCTTTAGGCTGCAGGTCACAATGGACGTTCTGTCAGAGGAGTCTGCAGTTCTGTTTAATCCTAATGGCATTCCGCGTGTAGCTACCTTTCCCTGACCTGTAGGTGGTGCTAGGGACATAAATGAAAGCCCTGTTTCATGATTTACATACATTAGTTAAACAGCGTTTTGTATAAAGCCAATCCCGTGACCTGATCCAAACTCAGTCTTCAGAAAATAGCTACCACATTAAGACTCCACTTGTTGCGTGTAGTTAGCTTGCTAGCATCTAGCACAGACGTGCGCAAACCTTTTGACTTGGGCCACAATTGTCCTAAAATTGAACGGGTGGACGGGTCAGGAGCAGATAGATGCAGCGTTCCAGTGAACTAAGATAAATGACATGTAAAAGTCTTACATAAAGGCTAAAATGCTTTTATCATTTTCTACGCCATCTATTGGGGAACATGGGTATTGCGGGGAAAAGGCAGAAGTATAATAATAATCATATAAATAAATTATATAATAATTTATTATTAATAGCATATTGGTGCTTTGTCAGCAGTTGGCTGGCAGACACCATGTTAGTGCACGGGGAGAGAAGTGACTCCTGACATTCACATTCAGTCTTTAAAGCAAAACTGTGTAAGATGTAAGTGTTATTTTAACTGCCGTTTCACGACAAGTGACATTAAAATCAGACGGTTATTTTTGGCCTGGCTGCGTCAGAAAAGATAAGCATTTTAAAAAATGTTGGTGAGGACAACCTAGCTTTTAGCTTAGCTGTATCGCACTAGTGCTGAGAGCCATTGTCACAAACTGTAATTCTTTTGGTGAAAGTACAGTGAATATTATACACATTAGTTTCCAATGCTATGTGAACAAAAGTTCCCTAGTCTCTGTCTTCGTGTTTTTTGTGGAAACAAAAAGTAAAATAAAATAAATAATTGAAAGAATAACTCCATGGACTTTTTGTGGTTATGCCAAAGATGCTGACAGGAACAAAGTCAGACAGTATTTTCACCAACTAGTTCCTATGTCCTAACTTTCCAAGAGGAACTGGTTTTTTTTTTAAGTTTACTATTTAAACTTATGCAAAGTTTCCAAATACTAGTGCTGGTTTATTGAGTCAAATTATAGTAGTAAAATCACTCACTCTCGCAAGAAGTTACTAGTACTCTGTACCTATGACACCGTGCTACCCTCTGCTGGTGTAAAACTACAACTGCACCCTTTTAACTCCTCGTTCTCTCCTGCAGGTGTTTCGAGGCTCTCTGGGTGTATTTCAAAGCTGGAAAGAAGGAGGAACCATACGTCACCATCTCCAGGAAGATCCAGTTGAAGAAAGGCCAGAACACGCCCATGGAGTGGGAGATCAGCCAATCGGAACGCAAACTGGCCACACACAGGGATGCCTTCAAGCGCACGGCAGTC